CCAAAATACAGTTGAATAAAAAACTATTGCCAAAACCACATTTCTAAAGTAATGAAACTATTCAAAATGATGTGATAAAATCGAAAAGATAAAATAAAAATCTGATTCGAATTTTGAAAAAATCGCTTCGAGGTGCACTGCTCTTGTTTAGATGCATCTATATACCAAGTTTCGTAGCCCTGGGTCTATCAGCTTACGCGCAACACGAACGAAAGACACATTGAATCTTTCTTTTATTATATTGTTACTTTTTTTTTAATTCTTCTGACACCAGTTGTTGCGTTATTTTCTTCCTTCACGTTCGTACGGGGTTTGTAGATTTGGAGTGAATAACGACGACACTTGATGAAGTATCGAAACACACTTTTTTTACCAATATTTAATCAGATAGCTCCAAAATCACTTTTACAGTCGTCGAAGATCTACTATAAACATGCTGACACGATAAGCGACACAGCCTGCACACTGTCAGGCAATAACGGTGGGGACAGCTTCACTGCAGAGCACCCGAGTACAGCTCCCAACTCTGCTTGGTTGTTCTCGGACCTCCACGTACTCTCGAGACTTTCCACGTGATGCACTTGAAGATACACAAGAGTATAGCTCTCGACTCAGCACATTCTAAGACCGACTCAGCACATTCTAAGAGAAAACTCGACGATGCACTAATTCGCGATGCACTAAAAGACTAACTCGATGCACTCGACGACCAACTCGGCGCTAAGACTTTGAGACACTCGCTCAATGACTGACTATCAGCTCGATAGACGAGGCACACACACTAACTGACTGCGGACCAGCAGGGTTTATATAGCTTTCGGCTTGAGAACATTCTGGGCTAAGCCGGTAAGAATTCGTTCTAGAAGGTTCTCCATCCATCCATGGTATATCGCAAATTTTGTCGCCAAACGGTCGATTTCTCGCCAAATATGGCAACCATGTCTTCAGTTGCCATTTTATGGCAACCATAAAACTGCTTTGCGGGGAAGCCATCTTACCGCGCCTGTACATTTCGTAACAATATGTAGACATAAAAAAGAAGAAAATATGCAAAATTATTTTAAGGATTCCAGCTAATCTAATTCCATTTGTCTCTCTGAGTATCCAACAACTAGAGCGGGCTGCAAACTGAATCGTAATCACTTTAAAATTAGAGGAAGGAAGGGAAACTAAAATTAAATTTGTAGAGCAATAAAAATCAATAATAGGCGTAAGGTGCGTAACCTTTTTTTTTTTTTTTTTTCACTCCTTTTGCAAAACGTTTGCTTTTATTACTCGTAATTTACAGATTTGGCTCATTTATCAATAATACAAAACAATCTTTTGTCTATGAGTTCAAAGAGAAATCTTTAATTAGCCCTTTACACAAAGACAGACATCTCAGGTACACAATTTTGTACAATCGTTATTCGGTTTTTGGCATTCATTTTTAATGTATATATGTAGTATACGTATAACTTAATATGTACAGTGCTTTGGTCTAACGCCGAGGAAGCAGGTTACGGATAACTGATAAACACAGATAACCCAAATATAAATTTTCATGCATATTATATGTGTTTATTTCTTTAAAAAATTAATAATTTTACTTTGTTTTTGGGAACGTTTAAATAGCTATCGAATTTCACTGCGTATTTATCAAAGCGTCATATTATCATTGCATTCGAATCCATTCTGGTCGATGAAGTCCAATAGAGTTTCAACAATAGAGTGCTGTCTCGGTACTTATAGAGTAAGTAATTATGAATATCTTCTTCGCTTGAGTATCTCTCTCTGCCGTCTCTGTTCTTGTGACATTTGAAACGATATCCGCATAACTCGAACATCGAGAGCCCGGCTCAGTTGAATCACAACCGAACCATTCATTGATGTTTTCCTGATCGACATATTAGAAGAATTTTACCTTTTCAATTTTTTTTTTAAGTACAACTCCAGTTACTGTTTCGACCTCTTCACAGTTAGGAAAATCTTCGATTTCTATATTAGGATGAATCTTTTTCCATGCTCAGACATTCTGCGCAGTTGCTTAGCTTCTATCATAATACAGACCACTGCTGCGCAACGCAAGACAACACCCAAATAACACACACCCTATTCGTTGTTGGCGTTCTTTGTCGATGTCGAATGCACAAGTCTGCGCATAGACTGACTGCACAGGACAGTGATTTTAGTAATATTTCTAATCTCGTGCATTTTGACTTCTTTCGCTACCCTCTCGTATTTTATAAAATATTGAATAATAGTTAAAATGCTTGAGCTTTTTAAATTAGTTAATATATTACGAATACCAAGAAAGCAAACTGGATAAATGAAAGATATGATGACTTGTTAAAAAATAAGTAATAGTAAAAACAGAAATAGTGGTAAAAAAAACCATAAGATTATCAAAGACTAAAAAGATACGACGTAATGAAAGTAGGCAATGTTGAAAAACTTATTTTTCCCATAAGTAAAGACTGCTACAATGCTAGAATTTACGTGTACTTTGAAGAATTTTTTATCATAATTCATAAGGCACACGCTATGGTGGTAAAATCAAGACATTAAAAGAACTTAAATAAAAGCACGAAAACTATCAAAAAGTGATGATTTATTTAAATATGTATGAACGTTGTCAAAAATAAAGGGTACCCAAGAAAGAACTTGCCGTTAGGCCAATGGTCTTTCAACACATGAACTCAAGATGCTATGAAGACCTAATTGACATGGAATAGATAATGACCAGATAATAACTGCATTTATATTTGTCTATTAAGACCACTTATCTAAGTTTCTGCATTCTCGTGCCTAAGAGATTGCACATAACTTAACTCTTATTTTTACCATATTTGAAGCTCCCAGTGTACTGTGACAATGATGCGAGTTCAGTAACCAAATCATAGAAGAAGCTTGTGCAATATGGCCGAATCTGAAATTTGAAGGCGGAAAAAACCTAGGCACAACCAGACTCAAGGTTCGTCCAAGCGTGCAAACCAGGATATTGAAAATATGCTAAATACTGAAAATATGCTTTCAACCAAACTGTAAAATAGTCCGAAGGGTTTACTTTGTGCAACTTATAAAAATTAGGACATTTCATGAAGGCATTAAGTGCACCTATTAAGAAGTATTCTTTGGCACGCGTGTAGAAGTAGACTTGAAAACGTATTCTTTCCCCCAATGACTCTATCGAGCATCTTAGAACCGAAGAAGAGCTTCAGTCTTTAATAGAGACAGTTAATAAAGCTTCCGAAAACATCAGTAGCGAAGCGGAAGATGATTCTGGTGTGAACAATAACAAACCATCACGAAATTACCCTCAGCTCGAAGTTAATTTTGATAAAGATCAGTCCCTTTAATCTGGATAAATATAGCAGACAAGAACAATTAAGAAAACACGTAATGAATGCTAGAGAACGTATAGAATCATAGGTAAAGAAAATGTTAAAAGTTTCAAATCTTAAATTTCCTTGGTTGTGGCGTAGTGAAACTATGAGTGCCAGACGTTGACAAAGCAAAACGTGATCCACGAAGTTTATTAGCGGTGATATCGGAAGTTCAAAATGAAGAATTTTATCAGTTAGGAACAAAATAAGGAAGACTTTTTAAAATTGTATATCAAACGTGAGTTCACAATTGACATCAGTGCAGTGGTTGTGGAGAACAATTTATTTCGCTAGACGATATTCCAGATCTCCCAATAGCACTTCGAGAATGTGTTAGAAAATCATCTCATTCTGGAGGTCACAGATATAAACGATGCGTTTGCAAGGGCCAATGCGAGTCTGATAAGTACAAATGTAAAAATTTTGTACATGTAAAAAAAAAAAAAAAAAAAAAACACTTTTACATATTTATAGACTGCATATAACTTCAACGAGTCCTAAAATCCGTGTCAATATTTTATTTTATTTTTAATTATAATACCGGACACATCAGCATGCATGCTTCCAATGTGAAACAACTGTAGAGTCATTCAACACTAGAGATAGTGATGGTTTATTGATTTCAGTTACTTCTTCCTTCTGTAATTACAGGTGAAAATAGCATCTTCTTTATCAGTGCTGTGCATTTTATCCTATATAAGCGTAAAATCTCAGATGATGAATATGATGGCATTCCTTTCTTAAAGATTTCACTCAAATGAATGATGAACGGTATAGATGTATGACAAGCAACAAATACAAAAAGTCTGAATTCAATTTTATACTATTCTGAAGCAAGATTTGCTAAGAATTTTGCTTAAGCTTTAGATAAGCATTGTGTGTCATTAAATCAATTTTATGTGCCCTCAGTTCACATTCACTTAATGTTTCCTGTGCAAGAATACTAACAGATCACCACCAAAATATTAAAGAAAGAAATCAATCAAACACGTGAAAATATTAATGATTAGTTTTTAAAGCCGAGTGAGCATGTGCTAAAACTGCAGATTGTCAAATTTTATTTAAGCCTAAATAAATAATTTCTTTCTATCAACAGTATTATACATTAATTTTAATAGATGTGTTATTTTAACATATACGTATTTACGATGTATTAAAATTTTTGTACAGTAGCAAAAAGTAGCACAATAAATTGACTGACGACACAACAAATAACAAATCGTAGCAAACAAACACAAAAGTAGCACAATAAATCGTTTAGACAATAAATTTTAGTCAAAAGCAGCAAATATGCGAAAAGACTCATAAGATGTCAGATCGGACTACTGGTTACCAACAGGCTACTGAATTCGGGACGTAAGCGAACCTTTACTACCGCAGTGCTGCTGCGGCAGTATTTGGAAATGGAATTTACTTTCTGAAAATGCATTGATAAAACTGGGCCTACTGTATTATGATTTTTTTTCAGACGTCAACGAGTAGGTTGAATACATTTTTTCACGTTTTCTCGTACGAAAACACATCAGTATTTTTTGCTCAGTGTTAAAAAAATAATTATTCGTTTGAAAATTATAAAAAAGTATTTATATCATACATTTAGTCGGAACTTTATCCTCAATGAATTCCCTCCCTTAGAACAATCAGACTCCGCTGATGCATGCTGCCTCATGGGGCTCACATGGAATGGTTCGCCTTCTGCTGGACGCAGGAGCTGACCCCAATTTCCAAGATAAAGACGGATCAACTGCTCTCATGTATGCTGCAGCCCATGGACATATAGTTTGTGCTAGAATGTTACTTGAGCACCCAAACTGTGATCCATCAATAAAAGACTGCGTAAGAGAAACATTTTTATTACTATATAAAATGTTATAAGTTGAATATGATTACTCGTTCTTACTCTATATATCGTCTCTAATTTATTTATAATTTCTAGCTTGTTTTATAACATTTACTATAAAGACAGAATTGCATAAACACTAATTTTTTATTTTACGGAATAACTGTAGCTTAGTCATTCTGCATTTCAAGCATACTTTTCGCTCTCTATTCATATATCGATAATCATGTAGCATGCGATCTACCGCTTTTACACACATGTCCATAAATTAAGGATAATGCAAAATCAGGCAAAGGAAAAGTTAGAAGCAAAACAAATTTGACTTATTTGTAAAGCTTATTTATTAAACAAAAGGTAAAGAGCAAAAACAGATGCTATATGTTTGATATTATTAAAAAAATTAGCTATTTTTTCTCCTTGAAACAAATTACAAAAAACAACTATTTACAAAAAAACAATATTACATGGTTGGTATGATTGTTAATACATTGTATGTCTCCCAGACGATGCAATACAGTCCGTACAACGCCTAGGCATGCTGAGTATCAAATTATCGATCTGATATTGGGGGATATTACACCACTCAAAAAGCAATGCTCTCCGAAGTTCCGGTAAACATGTAGGAGGAGGTTGACGGGCTGCAACTCTTCGGCCAAGCATGTCCCACACGTGGTATACTGGATTCCAGTCCGGTGAGAATGCTGGCCAGTCCATGCGGGTGATATCCTCCGATTGAAGGCATTCGCTTACGATGTTTGCACGGTGAGGACGGTCGTTGTCATCCAGAAACACAAATTGTACGCCCATGGCGCCCCGAAACAAACGTACATGTTGTTTCAGAATGACGTCCCGATAGATTTGGCTTGTCATGGTTCCAATTTGAACATGCAGGTCAGTCCTGGACCCCAGAATAATTCCACTCCCCAAACGAGCACTCCTGCACCACCGTAACGGTGTCGTTCAATGATGTTTTCTTGGTGGTAACGGGTACCTGAAGCTTTCCATATGAAAGTCCGGCAAGAATCAGACTGCAAGCTAATCCTGGACTCGTCGGAAAACATTACAGAAGCTCACTGTTGCGGTGTCCACAATGCATGCTCTCTACTCCAGGCTAACCGCAGGCGACAGTGAGTTGCAGTAAGTGGAACGCATCTGACAGGTCTACAAGCATATAAACCAATCTGCCCTAAGCGTCTGTACACGGTCTGCCTTGAAATTGCCGTACCAGTGGCTGAAGAGAGCTAACGAGACAGGTCTGAGGCTGTGCTCCGCCTGTTTCTTTTGGCAGTAACTGCCAAATACCGGTCCTCATTCGGCGTTGTAACTCTGGGGCGACCTGTGCTGTCTACTCACATTACCATCATCTTGGAATCGTTGCCAAAGCCTGGAGATAACACTCTGTGCAATTCCAAGTTCGTCTGATACTTCCAGTTGGATACGCCCACATTCCAGATGGCCGATAATTCTACCACGTAAAAAATCATCCAAATGCGTCCTTTGTGTCATAACTATTCGGTTATTGCACTGAAATGCTTATAAAGCGCCTGCGAACAATTTTACTTCTTTGCCTGTATTCCTTATATATCACTCTCTTACACTCTCGTCATTGTGACGTACCATCGGTGTCATCTGGTTGCTTCCTGAAATTTGCATATGATTCTTCAAGATGTGTGTAGTGATTTTACAGGTGATATATTTATTTTAGAGTTCGATTTCCGCGTGACTCCGAATTATCCTTAATTTATGAACATGAGTGTAATTAGTTATTGTTTGGATAAAAGCACTAAAATTTGTTGCTATTTTAAAAATTTCTTTTTTCCATCATCATACCGTTTAGTGGTATCTCACTAAAAGCGGTAGATAGCATACTACACAATTACCCACACGTCTATAAAAATCAAGAGTACTGGAATAGGAAGAATTAGATCTTGCAGAGTCATTACGTTGTTTTGAAGCTGGAGACATGAAATGCCCTGGATTCGATCCCTGGACCTCTCGAATACACATCTGGTATGTTTTTCCAATTACACTACTCACATACGGAAAGGAGGGAGAAAATACCTTATATGCTCTTCCTTATACAGGACGACTGGAGATTAGGAGGACTTAATCGCCAAATCGTGGTGATGCTGAATTATTGTTCACCACCTTTTAGTTCGGGCGTCACTGTAGTCTTTGGCATCATAAACTAGATCCAAAACTCTAAAAGACTATATGCGAATTATCGCTATCTCTTATAAGTATCGCAGAGACAGGGAAAGGGTACAGGACACTAATTAATCCAAATAAAATTTAACAGATGGTACCGATTCGTGCTTACAGAAGCCAAAACCTTAGGCTTTAAATCAATGATAATGGATAAATTACGTTAATGAAATTTAAGTTAGCCGAACGGCTTCACAGTTTAACTAGCTTTAAGTTGGCTCTAACCGAAGTCCGCGTAAACAAGCATAATGGCAATAATAACTCAACGCTGCAGAATTCTAATACTATAGAATCAAAGTTACCAACGTGAGTAGTAACCGGGGGTAACCGCGCGGCGCCCGAGGCAATAGGCGGCGTGGTGTCCGCCATCTCGGATCACGTGACAACCGGAAGTGACGATATCAGCGCCATCTTGGATTTCTCCGAAAGGGACGCATTGGAATGACGTCATCAAACTTTCGTTTTGATTCTGTGGGCAACACTATTTTGATTATTTTTTAAAGTTTTGGATTTTTTATTCGAAAATCTGGTTGATGTCTACGGCAACGGCATCTTGAGCCATGTGTTTGGACACAATTTTTAATTTATTAATTATTTAACACGTTATTATTTAATACGTCATTAATTTTTAATTATTTACTCTTTTAATAAGCATTTTAATTATTTAGTACGTCATTATTTTAATTATTACCTTTAATTAATTTTTATGGAATTTAATATTATTTTCCCTGAATTTTAAAAATAACTGCACGAGCGGGATTCGAACCCGCCATCTCTGAGATGAAAGACCTGAACATTTCCACACGGCCAACTTGGTCGTCTTATCAGACTTGTTATTTGAATCCTTTTTGTCCCTTTGACGTTTTTGCTCCATTGATGTCATAAGGCTGAAAGTCTGCGCATGCGCTTTGACATGAAAACCGCGTCACACATTTGTTTTTACAGGACAGCTAGGATTTCTTTTGGCTTCTTAATCATTACTTTATTCATTGCTGTTTTAAATGTAAGATTTTCCCACAGTTTAATTTTTTTTATTATTAAGATATTTTTAATTGTTTTCATTTTTCATCTCATTCTTACTATTTTTTAAGTTATTAGTTAATTTATTAATTTTTGATTTAGTATGTTTTTCCTTTACCAAACATAAATTTTATTTTTAACTTTCGCAAATTGACGTTTATTTCTATAAAAGTGAATTTACATTTTCTTTTTCCTTTTTTTACTTTGCAAAAGTTTTTTTTTCCAAATTTATTCCTTTTCGTATTTTTACTTTTTTAAATATATTTAAGTTTCTTTTTGGTTTTACAAAAGTCATATTTATTTTTAAGAATTGAATTTTTCCTTTTCACTTTTTTATTTTGCAAAAGTTTTTTTTTTCCAAAATTTATTCTTTTTCGTATTTTTACTTTACTTCATTTTAATTTTTTTGGTTTTACAAAAGTAATATTTATTTTTACAAATTTAATTTTTCCTTTCCGCTTTTTATTTTATAAAAAGGTGTTACTACATTTTTTAACTTTATTTTTTTACAAAAGTAATTTTTAGTTTCATAATTTTAATTTTTTTGAGTTTCTTTGTTTACACAAATGCAGTTTTTTTGTTTTTTCCCTTATGCATTTTACTTCTAAAAGTAAATTTCATTTTTTTTTTCCTTTCCTTTAAAAAAAATTTTTGTTACATTTTTATTTTACCCTTAACTTTCTCCCCTTGTTTTAAATACAATATGATGTCACATTTCCATTTCTCCAAAAGTAAACTTACCTACATTTCTCTGTCTTTCCAATTTTAAGCTGGAATTTACATGCATATAACTTCACTAGATAATAATTTTCCGTAACTTTACTCAAACCAGTACGCACAATGCTTCATTCTATATAGTTTAACTGGAATACTCCATTATCTTACTTTTTATACTACTAAGTTGGAGATACTCAGAACTTTCTCTTCTAATATATTGTACTAACTATTAATGAGTGTATTAACTTTTAGGCCAACTATACAAAATTCAAGGATTCACGAAACTATGTCTGACAAATGTAAATTTTACACTTTCCATTCACACATTTACCCTTATATTTAACTTACAAAACATATTCAAGCTGAATTTTTTATTCCTTTTCCCAAAAAAATTGAATATAGACTTACACAAATTTCGTTATTGAAAGACCTAGACTAGACTAGACTACGACTTTAAACAAATCTTATAAGGAGTAATAAATTTTCATGGTATGAAGCCCACTCAAACCAATGTATGGAGCATCTCTACCCAGTTAAGTTGAGATACGTACCAATAGTACTTCATTTCTTCTTATTTTATTCTACAGACATTTATACATATATATTCAGAACACTCCCTTTTATTCAGTAAGATTCATTTATACTACTAACACAAATTTTGCTAACTCTTTGAAATATTTTACAAAAATATCTTGTATTTCATGAACACATCCTACTTAAATCACCAAACATACACTGAACCTTGACTTTTCCTTCATGTGAAAACGTCACTCGGATTCTTAATATGATTCCACCATTTACCGCAGAACTTTATAAATACTACTCTATTTGAACTTATCACAGCCTTACTCTCTTAACAAGGTACAGAAGATTCAATTATATTTTAACTACAGAGAAGAATATCCACATTGTAACGTATTATTTTAAATTTGAATTATAGTCCCATTTTGTGAAGAACTTAAAGTCTATAATACACACGGAATTAATATTCAGCCATGGAAATGAAACTTTATCGCCATTTTCCCAACTTGGAATATAAAAATTTGTTAACTTGGAATATTTTTAACGTATTCATTGTAACTTAACTGAAAAATACCCATATTT